CGCTGAGGCTGCTGGCAGGCTTGGCTGCCTCCAGTTTGGGGCTGCGGGAGGGAGAGGGAGAGTTTTGGGTGTCAGTTAGGCGGAGTCTCGGAGGCTTCACTCCCGGGTGATGCTGCTGCTCTCGCAGACATAGCTGCCAGCCACTCAGTCCCGGAGCCGCTCCGCCCACGGGCACCCACCCGCCCACTCCCCAGGTCGGAGCCACGCGTGCCCCAGCCTCTCCCCCCACGCTCGCCAACGTGCACGCCACATTGCTCTATCCCCAGGTACCCCTCACCCGTGAGTCATCCTCCCTTTCCTGGTCTCTCGTCTGTGTCATCCTCCCAGCCCTGTTTTTCCTTGGATTGCATTAATCATCATCATCCTCGCTACCATCTTCATCCTGGAGCGTTAATATTATTTGAGCACCCACGATGTTCTGAACAGCAGGATGGAACACCCTCTGGACGCATTTTTTTTTTCCTGCTACAATATATTTCACGTGTACTAGTCAAGTGTTCATAGCAACAACAATGTGATTTTTTTTTTTTTTTAGATAATTTTAATACACACACACCCCTCCGACAGCTTGGATTTTCTGGGTCCATTGTATGCAGTGCCTTTCTTGACCCATCCTCAGTAAGACTATTCTGCGATTTATCCTAATTCCCCCTTAAGATGCCCCACAACCCAGCAACTATTTAATTTGTCATTTTGGGCTCTGGGTAACCCCATCGCGTCGCATAACCGCACTTCTCTGGTGCTTGCAAATGGATTATCTACTTGAATTCCTCTAATGATGCTCACTATCATCATGTACTCACTTCTTAGCCACTGTAGGTACTTCTCAAGAAACACTGATCCCAGATAAGAAAAACACCCAACCATTTCCTATTGTAAGAAGCTTTTGCTCAATGCCTGGCCCAATGATAGACATTAAAGATGAGTTTCTTTCGCTGATAAAGGCAAAAATAAACAGACAGTCCCTTCAAAACACGTATTGTTACAGGCTTTGAAACGGGAAGACTGAATTTTGTTAATATAATTATAAAGGAATCAAAATAGAGAAGAGTTCAAATTGAACAACAGTTTCCTAGTGAATGTCTCTCTTAGAAATGGTGATGAGAGGATTGATATGTTTCCTTCCTGGAGAATTTTTTCTTTAGTTCCAGAAAGGATCTAACACTAACATATATATTTTTTTCCTCCAAGCCTAACTTTGTTAATGAAGAAAAAGACAGTGATATTTATGAATCCTAAAAATCCAAAATCTTCAAGTTTAAGGGTTTATGTTTGACTATTTGATCTCCCATGAATGCATTTGTTTGCTTCTACATTGATACACCTATTTGAATACTCTCAGTAATGTAAGGCTCCCTATGTCTTAATTCTATTTCTATGTCTAAATCTCTCTTCTACTTGAAAGTTTTCAACTATTTGAGATGGCTATGATGTCATCTTTAATTTTTTTTTTCAGAGTAAACTTTGCCAGCTTATCCAACCAGTAATCATGTAGCATAATTTCAAAGTCTGATCATTCTGGTTATCTGCCTTTGGGTACACTCATGTTTTTCCCCCAGCTTTCCTGAATAGCAATATCAAGAATACATATAAAGAACCAAGAACAGTATCTGGCACTCAGTAAGTGCTTTATAATCATTATTTTTATTTGCACAATTTAATATTGGCCTAGCTTGTAGGTAACCATGTCAGTTATGATGATGTCGCTGAAATAGTCTACTAAAATTTCCAAGTTTTTTCATAAGTGCTGATGCCTAGCCAGATTTCCTCTTTCCTCTAATTAAGCAATTGATGAAAACATTCTAATCAGCTTTTCATCACTGTAAAAAAATTTCACTCATGTTCCTCAGGCTAGCATATATTCAAGGGGGGAAAATGAGTTTGAATTCTGGCTCTACTAGTGTTTTTATGATTTTGGTAAAATCACTTATCCTCTCTGAACCTTGGTTTTCTCATCTGAAAAGTGGGGTAAAGACATTTGCCTCTAAATAGAAGAGAAATAGTAAATGAAAAGATATATTTGAAGCCTCTAGCTATGTGTCTAATACTTTGTAGTTCTCTTGTTCTCATTTCTTGTTCTCTCCAAGAGTTGTATTAGGCCATCCCTCAATTATTAATGTACAGAGAGGAGTTAGAGATGAGAATGATACTCTATAAGATGCCTCTTAGTCAATGTAGAGATGCAACAGACAAAGGCCTTGTCCTCAGGAGGTTTGTAGTCAAATCAGTCCTCTTGAAATTCTTGTAAAATACAAATAGAGGAATTCTAAGTCCTCAGCTGATGTCAGAACTAGCTGAATAAAGCTCTGGAAGGCAGGGGCCTAAAAAACAATTAATAGTGGTATTTTTGTTTGCCAGGGCTGCTGTAACAAAACACCACAGACTAGGTGGCTTAAACAACAGAAATTTATTTTCTCACAGTTCTGGAGGCTAGAAATACCAGATCAGAATGCTGGCAGGATTGATTTTTCCTGAGGCCTCTTCTTGGCTTGTAGATGGGCACTTTCTTGCTGTGTCCTCATATGGCCTATTCTCTGTGCAAGCCCATCCCTGGTTTCTCTCCCTCTGCTTATAAGGACATCATTCTTATAGGATGGGAGCCCTACCCTTATGACCTCATTTCATTTTAATAACCTCTTTCAAGACCTATCTCCAAGTATAGTTACATTCTAAGGTCCTAGGGATTAGGGCTTCAACATATGAATTTTAGGGGGACAATTCAGTCCAATACAAGTGATTTCCATTTATTAGAATTACTTCGGGAAATAGTGATTGATGTGTATTATCTGGATGACTTAATGAAAAGACATCTGGTTTTGATCATCTTTACATTCATAGCTACTTCCTTGGGCTCCACAAGTGTATGTGAAATCAGTGAGTAAATAAATGAATAAAGGACTGAATGAATTGACAAATAAATTAGTAGGTGCCATGGTGCAACCCATCAGTGTCTCTCCTGTCAGGAATCTCATCCATTATGGAGGGGTTCAAAACCAATTTCTAAAATCCAAAGAAGTATATTTGTACACATTTACCTTCAGAAAAGTAGAACTTATCTGCACTTAGATAAGCAAGCAAACACCCAAAGTAGTTGTACAAAAGTGTGTGGCACAGATGATTAGTTCCTGAAGGCACTCTACAAAAATGTCCGATAAGCTTAGAAAAATATGCACAATACCTCCCTCTTAGGAATTCACAAGCCACCTTAACAAATAAAATGTGCAATGGAGCAATTATTTACTACAGTAAAGAAATCTGTTTTACTTGGCTTTGCCTGGCATTTCCCAAATGTATTTGGACTGTAAGAGAACTGCATTTTCTCCCCTCATAGGGAAAACATGCTTTAGACAAGCTTTGGGGGAAAATCCTGACTTACAAGCATGGTATGTAAAGATGTTAACTAGAGAGACCATGAAAATTCCAATGTAATTCTCCATGCTTAACCAATGAGATCTTTGGAAAATGTCTTAAATCTCTATTCTTAACGTCTTAAATCTCTATATATCAGATGTGCTGAAGGACAGCACTAATATTATGGTCAGAAATAATAACTTAGACAAAGCTCCTCTAAGGTAAGTTTCTTAGCTCAGCTTTCCACTGATAGTTTCAAATCATTGTTTCTCAAAATAACTAAAATTGGATACCACTGTTAACTGTTAATTTAACTTAATAGCTGAGATTATAACCTCAAAGTGGAATATAATTGAAATGGTGTCAGGTTCTAATCCTTACTCTACCATTTGATAATTGTAGTGGGTTTAGTACTGTCTCCCCCCACCCCCAAAATTCATGTTCATTCAGAACCTCAGAATGTGCCCTTTTTTGGAAATGGGTCTTTACAGATGAAATCACCTAAAATGAGTTCATACTCTATTAGGATGAGTCCTAAATCCAATGGCTAGTGTCCTTATAAGAGGAGAGAATGCACACATGTACAAGAAGGAGGCCACATGAAGACACAAAGAGACCCGGAGAGAGGAAGGCCATGTGAAAACAGAAGCAGAGAATGGAGTGGTGATGCTTCCCCAAACCAAGGAATGCCAGGAGCCACCAATAGCTAGAAGAGGCAAGGAAGGATTCTCCTCTAGAGACTTCAGAGAAAGCATAGCCCTGCTAATACCTTGGCTTTGGACTTCTAGCCTCCACAACTGTGAGAGAATAAATTTCTGTTGTTTTAAGCCGTGTGTGCAGTTTGTGGTACTTTGTTATTGCAGCCTTAGGAGACTAATACAATATTTATGTGAGTTTAGGTGAATTAGTAAACCTCACTGAGCTAATCTATAAAATGAAAATAATAATACGCACCTTCCACGGTTTGGTAAGGATGAAAGGTTGCGAACCTGTGTACCTTCTTTGTGCTAGGCACTGAAGATAAGGGAGGGAATGATGCATATAAGGTACTGGACCTAGAGAAGATGGGCAACCTATGGCCCATGAACCAACACAGCCAAAAGCCTGTTTTCTGAATAAACACAGCCACATCCATTGATTAAATATTTTCCATAGCTGCCTTTATACAATGGTAGAGTACATGTAAAATGGAAGAGCATATGTCCTACAAAGCCTGAAATATTTACTATCTGTCTCTTTACAGAAACAAAAGTTTGTTAACCTCTGCCCTGGATGCTTACAATGCAGTTTGAGGAAAGGGGAAGGCATAGAAAAACACATAACAGTTGGATTATGATAATTGCTCTAGAAAATAACTTAGATAGAATAGAAAATAAACCGTGGGAAGATAGGTAGTCATGGGAGTCCTAAGAAGGTGTCCCATGACCAGAGAT